GACCAACTAGAGAACATACGATGGCTATATGACGTGAATATTAATCCACCACCCTCCTATCAACTAGTACAGCCACAAGCAAAATATGTTTAATATCAGTCTTTTGCCGTATTATATACGTACCCAGATTCAGTTTTTTTTTTCGGACTCAATGGGTTGAAGTTAATTCATATAGAAGAAAGTACAATGAGCTGATTTAATTCGTAAGTACAGTGGGCTGCTTTTAAACAGACAGCAAGTAGTGTGTTGTGTCATCAGAGTATGTTACCTCTATCCCATGGACAGCGTCTAGACAAGATCCAAACACAGCAAGTTCTTGGAGAAAGTTTCAACGGGGTCAAAACATGTGGCACCCATTGCACATGCAACGTTATCCACATAACCTATCAAAAGCATTAGCTACAATCAAATGGAAATTATATGAATTCTAGTTAAAGTAAGAATTTATAATCCCTAGACAACAACCTACCTATTCTGCATATGAGATCTCACATCGGTTGGAGAAGAGAATAAAGCACTATTTGTAAGAGTATAGAAACCTCTCCCTAGTAGACACGTTTTAAAAACCTTAGGGGGAAGCCCGAAAGGAAAAGCCCAATAAGGACAATATCTGCTAGCGGTGGGCTTGGACTCTTACAATTTCATTGCGGGAAAGCTAATAGAAAAACTTTAACATTGTGTAATCTCCATCATAAGAGCTAGAGGCGAAATTGACAGACCAAATCTCCCTTCAAAAGCCAATAGAAACAGCCATGTCAAGTCCTTTTTATGTCATTCATCATTCTGACATGATAAACAGAAAAGGGGGAAATGGAATAGCACAAGAAATGGTTTCAGAATGTCCCCAACTGTCTTGGAGTGTCCAGTCCTCAAATCAAGGCAAGGTTAGTAGTTACAGAGAAATCAGTAAAAATTCTTCAACGTTGTTGACTTCTTTTCAAATAAATACATAGGAAGATAACACCTGCTCGCCATTTCACATTGGCAACGATAAAGTATTTGCACTTATTCAAAAAACTGATAAGTTGTATCAAGGTCACATGAATCACAGATGTATATCCATCATAGAAGCCTTTGTGTTTTTCCCGTCCTCGAAGAAACTCCATGGCTACAGTATTGAAAATCCTGCCGAATTCTGAAACCTTACATTGTACCATGGGGTCGATGTAGGGGGCAGATGGTAAGTTTCATCCCCTCAAGTAATGACCTTAGAGTTTCAACTACTCTGTTCAAGGTGACTGTGCCGTACTACACACCTAAGTTTGCCTGCAAATGAAATATGATGGCACCTTAAGTTTTAGCATATTCACTGCCAAGCATCAAGATTTAGTAAAAAGCCATGACCTTTTTAATAACTGCGGATATGTTCCTTGATTAGTTCAGAAAGACTGTATTTGACGTGGCGTCTAAGAACTCATCAGACTGCTTGTTAACATCAAATGGAAAGTGAATCATCCGTTCTCCTCTCTCCACA